TATGCTAAGTGAACTAACGCCGTCCCACAAGGACAAATATTGCATAAAACCATTATTATAGAATGAGTATAAGGACCCAAGTTGGGGAGAGGGCGAGGTTAGAAGCAGAGGGATAAGAACACGTAGGGGAAGAAGAGGATTAATCATGGAGTTGTACAATTTGATAGGTGATGGGATGAGGGAAATTGGAAGAATTTGTTCTCGAAAACAATGTATTAGAATTTAGAAACAAACTAGTATTTAAAAAGTCAACTTGGAGAGGGGGAAGGGAGGGAGGGAGGGGGTAAAATGTGCAATAATAAATAAATGAAAATCTAACTTTTCTGTAAACTTTTGTTAAAATCACAATTAAAATTTAAAAATGTATTTAAAAAACAAAAAAAATAAAGAGCTGTTTAACTATCTTAAATAAGAGAAAAATGTACATACATAAAACAAGAACAGAATGAACTTCCATGTGACATAATCAGAGAGCATGAAGAACTTTTTTGTGATGAAAAACTAAGATTGGAGACAAATAATGTATCCTGTGGAATGGAGAAAGTCAAATAAACCCCTCAGTAAAAGCTGTAAGTATAATGAAAAGATAGGAGAGAGAAGCTTTATGATCTAGTGGCAAGAAGCTGCACTGCAATCCCAAAGGCACACGATTCAAATCCACCAGCTGCTCCACGGGAGAAGCATGGGCAGTCTCCTCCCATGTGATTAACTGACTGTGAAAACCTGCTGGAGGATCAGCCATTGGTAGTTTTAACTTGATGGCAAACAACAACATGTCTAACCACAGAGAAAGATATTTCCATGAATATTGATGAGAGTCAACAGTGAGTACATAGGAAACAAGGCAACAAAAAGAGGGAACAGCTGCACATCTCCAAATAATAACACTGATACAAACTCAGAACATTGATTTCACAAAATAGGTGGGAGGGTAAAAGTTAGAGAAGGTGGCAGGAGCAAAGAGCACTGCAAGAATTGTCATGTTTAAAATATGTGAATTTATATTTTCATTGAATTTTAGAATTTGAAAGCTCTGGATTTCTATATATAACTTTGACACCGTGTCTTCTCTGTTCTATGCTCCAATATCAGTGATGACGAGTTTTCTGAAGTAGCCATAAAAATATTTTATTATCAATGATTTTAAATCACCAGGCAAAGTTGAACACCAATCTATGGACAAAGCATAGTACTTTTCCTTTTGCCCTCCTTGGGACCATGTGCTAAAACATGTAAAGATATTACTAGCTTTTGCTATGTTAATAGTTTATGTAATGTGAAAATGTGGCCATGAATTCTCTTGTTATGAAACAGGTGTAGACTATAGTCCTCATGCTTGTACTAGCTTCCACTGCAGCAAACTGCAAAATGTACCTTTGAAGCACATGTCCTACAGCTCTGTCAAGCTATGTTCAATTATTTTACTGTTGGCCTGAAACTTAGAACTTTGTTCATTGGTTTGCATTGTTGAAATTTCATCTGATAACTTGACTCTGCATTTGTACGCTGTTGGCATTGATTTCTGCATTGTCATTACCAACACTTTCTGGGCTTATCTTCTGTTATAATTTCGTTTCAGCAAAACAGTGAGTTCTAATTTTTCATTAAACATTTCAAAATCAAATTATCTAATCAAATGGAAGAAATGATGAGTTAATGGAATTGATATTTCTTCCATGGAGCCCAATCAAATCCCGTCTGTGAAATAAATTAGCAAGTGATCATCACAGAAATTACAAATTCAGTCGCATGGTTTTTCCATTTTAATTAAGGAGTTAAAGTAACTTTCAATTATGAATCGATTCCTCCCTTTTAGAAGTGTCTGGGCTGTTTAAAGATTCTTGACTAGCTTTCTCCTAAGATCTGGGGCTTTTCTGAGCCACTTTTCTTCCTTGAATGTGTTTGCTCAGAATATACAAAGCCGGAACAATTATCATTTCTTTCCAAGTCACTCAATGTTTCTAGTGCCCCATCCCTCAAATCCCTAATCTCATAAAGCACATATAGACAGCACATAACTTAAATCTAAATGAGGCAGATAAAGCATGTATTCAAGCAAGTTGAAGCAATCTTAAAAGTTAGTAGTCTTTTCAGGGAAACAAGTGAGGGAGGAGAGGCCAGCAGAGAGACTGTTTAGATTTACATCTTAGAACAGAAAACAGTATGGAGGTAGTAATATTATAGCAATAAATATACCCAGACACATTGTCTTTGCATTAGAAGCAGAATCATAGCTGATCCTCCAGCAGGTTTTCAGAAGCTACAGATTGCATGGAAAGCTTTTCTTCCTTCAGAGCTGCTGGTGGATTTGAACCTGGTGCCTTTAGGCTAGCAGTGCAAGTCTATATCGGCTATGCCATCAGAGGTCCCTAACAGCAATACTGGCAGCTACCATCTTAAGTACTACATACAAACCATTGTCGTAAATTCTTCACTTGCATCAGTTTGTTTGTTTATTACATAAGAAAAATACAAGAGTATATAGGAGTGTGTGGGTGATACACACAAGTGCATGGCTACTAGCCAAGAGGTTGGTGCCTCAGAAGAAAGGGCTGGCAATCTGCTTCCCAAGGATGTACATGTGTTACGGGCCCTATAGTCAGAACTAACTCATAGCTGACCCACCAGTGGGTTTTCAAAGGTTGATAATCACACAAGAGGAGATTACTTGTCTTTCACTCCTGGAACAGTTTGTAGATCCAAACTTCTTGTCTTTGGTTTGGCAGTGCAGCTACTTACCACTAAGCCACCACATAGTTATAGAAACCCTATGAAGCAGTTTTGCTCTTTTTATTTTTGTTATGTGCCATCGAGTTACCTGTAACCAATAGCAACCCTATGTACAGCAGCTCTGAACCTTGTCCTGTCCTGAGTCAGTCACTAATTCTGACACAGCAAGCCTCATTGTCCCAGTCATTCTATCAATCCATCTCATCTGGGGTCTTCCTCTCCTGCACTGTCCCTCCACCCTTCCAAGCAACATGTTCTCCAAGGACCAATCCCTCCTGGCCTCGTGCCCAAAATATGTGAAACAGATCTTCAAAATCCCAGCCTCCAAGGAGAAACTTGGTTTCACCCTCTCTAGGACAGACCTATTTGTTTTCTTGGCAGTTCACGATATGTTCAAGACTCTTCTGCAGCACCACAGCTGAAAGATATTAATTCTGCTTCTGTCATCCTTCCAGGGCAGCATCTGTTAACTGAAATATGTCAGTTGGCATACCATCTATTCCTGGAGCCTTATTTTTTGCCATTTCCTTCAAAGCAGCCTGAACTTCTTCTTTCATCACCATAGGCTCTTGCTCATATGTTATTTCTTTAAATTCCTCTGTATCTGCCAATTCCTTTCTATATAATGACTCAGTATATTCCTTCCATCTTCTTTTAATACTTCCTGGATCATTTAATATTCTGCCCAAAGCATTCTTGATTACAGCAACTCTAGGTTTGAATCTGTTCTTCAGTTCCTTGAGCTTAAGAAATGCTGAGCGAGTTCGGCCCTTTTGATTTTCTGACTCCAACTCCTTGCACATTTCATTGTAATATTTTTCTTTATCTCCTGTGCTGCCTTTTGAAATCTTCTATTCAACTCTTTAGTATCTTGAATTCTTCCTTGTGCTTTGGCTTCTCTGTGCTCCAGTGCAATATTCAGAGTCTCTTCTGACATCCATTTTGGTCTTTTCTTCCTCTTCTTTCTTTGCAATGACCGTTTGCACTCTTCCTGGATGATACCCTTAATATCCTCATTTCGGGATGGGAGTGTCAGAGATAGTACGATTGGCACAGGACAGAGCAGAGCTTAGGGCTGTTGTACATAGGGTCGCTATGAATCACAAGTGACTCGACGACACATAACAACAACAACAACAACTGTCATCCTTAGTCTTTGTCCAGCTCTCTGATGCATAGTAAGTAATTGCAAAGACCATGTCTTGGATTAGGCCCGCTGTAGTTTCTAGACTGATATCATTGCTTTTCAGCACTCTGGAGAGGTCCCTGACTGCAGATTTTCCTAGTGTGACTCATCTTTTGATTTCCTGACTGCTGGTGTTAATGTGGAGCCAAGCAAGCTATAATTGTTAGCAACCTCAATCTCTTCTCCATCTATCATGGAGATATCAGTTGGCTCAGTGATAAGAATCTTTGTCTTCTTGATGTTAAGTTTCAATCCATATTTAAGACTATAGTCTTTGATCTTTTGCAGCAAAGTGCTTCAGGTCTTCTTCCGTTTCAGGAAGCAAGGTTGTGTCATCTGCATCATGTGAGTTGTTGCTGAGTCTACCTCCAATCCTGATGCCACATTCCTTCTCATAAAACCCTGTTTACTGAATGATCTGTTCTGCATAGAGATTGAAAAGGTATGGAGATAGGATGCATCCCTGACACACTCCTTCCCTGGTTTTGAATGCAGTATTTCCCTGCTCTGTTCTGAGGACTGCTTCCTAGTCCAAGTATAGGTTTCACATACGCACAATCAAGTGTTCTGGACTCTGCACACCTGGAATTGCCGTGTCAGAATCAACTTGACAGCAATTGTTTTCTACCAGGTTTTGTTGGGTTTTGGGTGTTTTTACAGATCAGGAACCAAGCAGCAGAGACATTAATCAGACCAAAGGGATCAGGCTAGTAGCTTCCCAAACCTGGGTTCCCAACCATCCAGGATGGCAGGATCAATCAGAAAATACAGCCATGCTCCTAGTGCAGACATGCACCTAAGAAAGCATGAGGGTTGAACTTTATACTTTCATGCTGTGGTCATTCATTGTTTGTTCAGTCTGCCTGAGACTGAAACAAGTGGAAAATGATAGGGTTTTAGTCTTTGTTTGACATGACTTCCATGGTGCAAATCTGAGCATCCCAGCCAATTAAAAAAAATGTGAAAAAGGAAGAGCTCAGTCAGAGAATCATCTGAGTGAAATCTTATACTGATGTGGTTTGACTTCTTAGCCAAATGCATCTACAAATCACTCACTTGACCAGGGCATTAGTGTAAATCGGCAATGGAATCCAGTTTGCAGGACACGTTCCGCAGACACAATTGCATAGATGAACTGGCAGCGTAAGATTCAAATGGAATGTGGCTGGAAGAGTTATGCCTTTCGAGTATGAAGACAGACACATTAGTCCTGTTGGTAGGGATTTTGTTCCCGTTCCTTGCTGATAGTGAAGGAATGTGTGGCAATTCAGCATTGCTTGCTTTTATATGGCCATTTCACTTAATGCTTTGATCGGAGGTGCTTGAATAGTGAATGCTTTTGTTGCCAGAAAATTAAATCAAGTTTTAGGTCACTTGCCATCCAGATAGAGCCAAAGCATTTCAAGAGTAAAGGGCAGATTTAGGCCCTGGGAGGCTAACAGCCCTTTCTGCAATAGCACAAAAGTTACCAAAGTGCAGAGAGTTGAATCATTGGTGGCCTGGAAAGTGACATTTTTTTATCCAGGGATTTTTCGTTTAGTCTTTGTGAGGCAGAGGTTGTGTGAAGACCAGCTGCCAATCACACACCAACAGTGGATTTGCAAGATTATGGAACTAGGGGGGGAAATGAAGGTTAAGCTCAGAGTACAATAGAGATTACTTATGGTAATGAATTGTATAGGGTTTTTTTAGACAGAGTTGGATTAATGTTCATTTTGAAAAAGGATTACAGTATGTCTGATTCTTGCAGTAAACAGATATTAAGCAGATTATTATGTTCAACATATGAAGCAAGAGTCCTAAAAAGTCTATGATTTATCAAACACAGGGAGAAAAATTAACCTTTTCCCTCACTAAGCACATGAGATGGGCATCTTCCTCAAAGACCACTCATTCGGGGTCTCAGCTGTCACATGTATGGCCCCTGCACCCACGGCTGTGAAGGGAACTTTTCTGGACTCTTGACCCCTCATTAACTTTCACCCCGGCTCTGCTTTGGGTCCATACATGATACAGTCCCAACATCTAGCTTCAGAGTCTACCCTTCAATTTGGGGCACTGATGGAAAAACAACCATCTCCCCTGTGGGAAGCTTCAGGCTGTTCCTTTACTCACCTGCCTTGGAAAGGTAGAGCTCATTTTTAGCATCAGCTTTTGCTTCCCTGGTATTACTTGATAGAGAGGTGTTTTGTTTTGTTTCTTCCTTTTGCTGTCAATTACTATTTAGAAGACATTACTTTCTGTCCATGGCTTTTATTGATGACACTCTAATATCATTTCTTCATTACACAATTAACACAATATTAAGAAAGACACATAACTTCTTTGGGATTCTTGCTAAAAGTGTGTAATGTCAGTCTCATGGGGGTGAAGACAAACCCAAGTGAGGTACATTAAGTGGAGGAACTGAGCAGTCCAGGGCAAACATAGTATCATATACAAATGGGGAGGTATAATGGCTGGACCTCCGTGATCACTCCACCCTGACATGATGGCCATTGTCATTACTTGGTAATATGCCCTTCCATTTTTGTTGTTATTTGAATCCAAGTTGGGCCCTGACTTGAAGACACCCAGGTACAGTGGTATCAGACAATTATGACCCATAGGGTTTTCATTGCTTTTTATTTTTAGTAGATTGCCATGCCTTTCTTCCTAGGCTAGTTTTGTCTAAAAGATTGGCTGAAAGCTGTTGAAAGCTGCTGAGCATCATAAGAATGCATTCGTCTTCACTAACAGGCAGGTGATTTGACAAGGAATAAAACTTCTGTCTCCCACAAAAGGTGAAGGTTTTCCCATGAACCGCTACTGCCTCTTGTGCTGGTCTTAGGCATTGAGTTCTCTGCCCTCAGGTAAATTATGTTTGGATGATGAATTAATATTGCTCACTCACTCATCAGAGGATATGTCTCACTAGCTACACACAAACGCAATTTTAAATACTTTGAACCGTATGCATGCACTTGTGTTTTGATCTGATCATTCGACTGAATTTGGTTATAGAACCATGGTTAAATGAGCAAATTGGTGTTAAGTTTATTTCTCTCCTTATTTTGTTTTAAAGTGGCTAACAGTTAATTAGCAGTTACTTGTTTTTAGTTTCTGTTGAGTAGACTGTGATGCATAGCAGTGCTGTGAACATCATACTGACGCTTTACCCTCTCCTGCACCATCCTCACAATCTCTATCACGCTCAGCAACCCTTGTTGTCATTGATATATCCAGAATATCTAACAGCAGGCCCAAAGGATGTATCTTTGGCCTCCAAGGAGAACTCGAGTTCCATGTCTTCTGAGGTAGATTTGTATCCCCAGTCCATGGGATGGATACTCACTTGTTATTGTTGTTGTTGTTGTTATGTGCTGTCGAATCACCTGTAACTCATAGCAACCCTATGTACAACAGCCCTAAACTCTGCCCTACCCTGCGCCAATCTCACCATCTCCGACAACCCCCCACCCAACTACCCCAGTCACTGAATCAATCCATCTCATGGAGGGTCTTCTTTCCTGCACCATCCCTCCACCCTCCCAAACATGATGTCCCTCTCCAAGAACTGGACCCTCCTTGCAACATGTCCAAAGTATGTCAGATGAAGCTTCAGAATCCTTGCCTCCAAGGAGCAGCCCGGCTTCACCCTCTCCAGGACAAACATGTTTGTTTTCCTAGCCATCCATGGTATATTCAATACTCTCTTGCCAATACCACAGTTCAAAGGCATCTGCTCTTTTCTGTCACCTTTAGTCATTGTCCAAGTTTCACATGTATATTAAGCAATTGAAAATACCATCGCTTGAGTCAGGTGCACCTTTCTCTTTAATCTGACATCTGTGCTCTTTAGCAGTTTTAAAAAGTTCATGACAACATATTTTCCCAATGTGACACCTATTTCGATTTGCTTGCTGCTACCATTCGTCTAAATGAATAAAACACAATCTGGTATTTTCCCCTTTCATCCAGGATCCATCTGAAACCAGCAATGGTGCCAAGGCCTCTTCTAAGTGTTGCTTGAACTTCTGGGAGTTTCTATCTATGTACTTTTCTAGCCTTTTTTAAATGTTTGTGTCATCTGTATAACATAGGTTATAGATGAATGTCCTTCCAATACTGATGTGTCATATTCTTCATATAATCCAGTTTCTCAAGCTATTTGACCAGCATACAAATTGAATATGTATGGAGAAAGGAAACAATCCCAGTACTCACCTGTCTGGATTTTAAACCATGCAGTGTCCCCTTGTTCCATTGGTGGGACTATTTCTTGGTGTGTGTGAACAAAACCATACAGTTTTTATAAACACTAAGTCTGTAAACATATCTAGACTTTACTTTCCTTTCTCAACAATAAACATTTATTGAAAACTTGTCATTTTAGGGTAGTAAATTGGAGCTTTAGAATTCAAATAATTATAAAGAAATAGACCTAGATTGGAAGTTTTTCTAATCTGAAGTAGCCACTTTCTGAATGATTCTATTTCTCCAAATGCTTTAACACTTAAACACGTTTACTTAAAGAAATCTTTTTATAATACATCTGAAATGTCCTTCTCACTTGCAGTGGGAGCTCCAAGGTAGTTCTTTGCTCACAGGATTCCTTACAAAAATGGAAGGAGGAGCCAGCGTTCTCTAGTTCTGTGCTCTACTGAGTTCTCAGTCCATTGTCTGTGTTTTAATACCTTGCCCCTGCTCCTTGCCCCATACTCCCCACACCTTGTAGGATGTCCCTCAGTTAGACACTTTTCCTGTTTTCTCAAGTACCACTGCCATGAGGCCATGTGTGTAGCACACTTTCACCAAGTTTTAAGCTAGTATGTTCTCCAGGAGAGCAAACAACTTAACACACTTGTGGATTGGTCATTTCTCGCCCTGAGAGCCCCTCTTAGAGCTATCACTGTCTTCTGAGAATTCCAGCTGGCCGTCATCTGCGTCAGTATTTAATTACCTGTCTTTCCACTTCCTTTCTTCTTCTCTTTTGTCCTTTTCTGCTGAGCTCTCAAATTCTTCACTGTGCCTAGACGACCTCATCTTAAGCAAACACATCCAATAGGTCTGTTTTAAATAAAATGAGTTTTGGTCCTTGAGTCAGCCCTTTGAGTACGTCTTTTTCTTCCTCTGCTCACCTTAAATTATCAAGTACATTCATTGCTAGGCAATAACAATTTCTTTTGTCCAGTAATTGAAAATATGAAGAGGTCCTTCAAAGTTGAGTAATTCCATGAAAGGTAGAGATGAGCCATTCATGCAGAAAGTGTGCTTTAGCAAAACTGCTTATGTGCAACCATATACATCCCATGCACACACAGCAGAGAAAGCTAATCCCACTCAGTGTGCTCCCGCCCAATGCCGTCGGTGCGATCATTATGGGAGGTGAGGGGATATTATTCTCCTTCAGAGCAGTTGATGCATTCAAACTACCAACCTTTTCATTAGCAGTCCAACACATAGCACACTGTGCCACCGGGGCTCCTTACTCTATGTAGCAGGTACTGTCAGATATTCTACCTCGACTCCCATAGTGAGCCTCTGGAATTGATTATTTTTCTTTTACCAGTAAAGAAGCACTAGCTGGCTAGTATTCTACATTTAAAAGTTCACAATATGCCTCAGAGATGTAGAACTGTAACACTGTATCTTCATAATTTTTCACAAACTTCTATTTCACTGATGACAGAAGCAGTGATTCTTTGAAGTGAAAACATTCCAGCCACTTCTAGTTTACAATGTAAACTCTTATCCAAATGTTAAGCAGGCTTTCCACTTGCCAAGTCTCTTTTTTGCTTTCCGCATGTCCACGGTGTGTCCTGTTGTGCCGATGTTCATGCTGCTCACCAGTGACTTCCATTGTGCCTTCTGAACTAGGACTTTGCTCCTGGTCTTACCTTTGTCCACAACGGAAGTGACCCTAGTTGGTTACAAAATGATGATTCAGTGCTTCCTCTGCCCAACTTGACTCTCACTGAGGCTGTTACCTTAAATCTGGGGATCTGTAGCATCCTTGGGGGACAAGGGAATCTTGGAAATTAGAGTGGAATGAAGAAGCAGTTCTATTATATACTAGTATGTAGGAGACATAGGGAACTCTGGTGGCCTAGTAGCAAGAAGCTGCACTCTAATCTTGAAGGCACGTGGTTTGAGGCCACCAG